TGTTTGTGACGTCAGTGTGGGGGTGTACGAATCCTGTATTATGAGTTCGAAGAGGTTTTTTTGATTGTTGGTTTCTTTTATCTGTCTTTGTTCTTCTATTAATTTTTTGTGTTTGTTATGATAATATATTTGGAAATCTTCCTTTACATTCATTAGATTGCCCTTCTTAGCTGTTTCGAGGATTTCCATGATTGTGGTTATCGGCCCATATTGGTGTCTTGTGTTTAATATATGTTGGGCGAAGGCCGATTCGTCCTTATTTAATCTTATGTTGCGAATGTGCTCAGTGTATCGGGTTGACAGTTTTCTGCCCGTTTGGCCAATGTATACCTTTTGACAACTTTGGCAGGTCAGTTTGTAGATTCCGCTTTGCTCATATGGATCGACCTTAAACTTTTTTTTTTAAGTTCTTGTATCGTTTTCTGGAAGCTATAAATTTCTGGTCCATCTCTAACAAATATTCAAAATCAAAGTCACATTGCAACTGACGGTCGGTCAGTCAGTATTGGTGTCGAGCCCCAGCCGGGGCGCCTCCTCTGACTGGCCCTTGCCAGCACAGCCTTTCTCGGGTGTAGTCCCTTGAGACTCGCGACCATATTTTATACTTCATTTTTCGTCGTCTCCTACGGCCAATGTTGCTTTTTATAACTTTGGAACTAACTGAATATAAGTTGTAATTTATAATGCAGTGTTTTAGGCCAATAACTGTAAAATACATTTTAAATTAAGCATACCTTACAGAAAATGAGATGTATTCCTAATGCAGTCTTGAATGATTCAAGACTGTATCCCAAAGAACGGTATAAAGTTAATAAACGTAGTCATGTGGATGTAATTGATCGTATTTTGTTTTAGCTGCTCAAATTGTGTTACCAGGGTGTAATTAATGTATTCAGAAGTTATTTTCTACAGGCATAAAATGCTATATGACCACTATGATGCAATGTTGATGCACCAATAAATGCAAGCTGTCAAGTCATTTACAGGACCAGAAAACAGAACATACATTAACTTTCATTCATGCGTCAATTACAATTTTCTTTTATGGAAGGTTTGTATAAGGTTATTCAATTTTAAAAGGCACGTACTTTATAAATACCCGTATATAAGAGAAAACGGGTATGTCCATCATGAACTTGCTGCAATATATACATCACTTTCTTGTTTTAATGCACGTAATGATAAATGTTTTATTGCATTACTGAGCTCAGCTTTCAGTAGTAATCAAAACAGAACTGTTGACAGTATCATTCAACATGAAAATAGAACGCAGTAGCCAGCTAAATAACTTGCTTTTGAAATATCGCATTGATCAAATTGGCTTTGCCTCCTATGAATTGTGGTTTTCATTTCGCCCTGTTATAGATACATGGCAACACACACTGACATAACAAACTCTCTCGCTATTCCCAGACTACAAACGGATAAAAAATTTTCTCTCTTTATTATGAAAACAGTAAAAACTACGTTTTGTCCTGTGTGATATTTATCGTATTGCAACTCTTCGTGTGTTTCATGTAGCTGCCATCACTTTGTCCTTCCGCGATAGTTTTAATTAACATGTGTAACGAAAGATATTCTTGAAAAACAAAGATTACAAAAAAAGCTTTGTTTAATTACAAACATAATTTTCTGTACATTCGCCAAAAGAGTATGTAGGCCGTAACATTTTTGTAATATGCAAGTCCGCCAGATTCATCTCTTTAAACTTTATCTAAAGACAGTTTAGTTTACTGTAATATTTCTGTACGAACAAAAAACAAATTTTAGTTAAGTTATGTAACTTCCCCTTGAAACGTAGGATTTGAAATAAATTCGAAAATCTTCTCGGGTCATCAGCAATGTCTGTTTTGAATTAAAAACCACGCGTTTCAGAAAGCTACTGCGCCTACATTTGAGGGCAACATCCACGCTGACGTTTCGGAGATCTCTTCCGTCTTCACCATCAGGGTCACATCCATCCCGACGTTTCAGAGATCTCTTCCGTCTCACCATCAGGGTCACATACATCCCGACGTTTCAGAGATCTCTTCCCTCTTCACCATCAGGGTCACATCCATCCCGACGTTTCAGAGATCTCTTCCGTCTCCACCATCAAGGTCACACCCATCCTGACGTTTCAGAGATCTCTTCCGTCTCCACCATCAGGGTCACATCAATCCTGACGTTTCAGAGAACTCTTCCGTCTCCACCATCAGGGTCACATCCATCCTTATGAAGGACACGGAAGAGAGCTCATTGGCACAGTTGGTGGGCGCAGAAGTTTCTAGCAATTTTACTTAGAAAGGTTTTCAAAAATGTGTGTACTTGATTAAACACGATAAAGCAGTATTTCCAGCAATCTATCTAATATAACATCATTGATTAAAACTGACTACAGTAGATTTCATAATTCTGTTTAGTTCAGTATTTCAATGGCCAATTTATTCCCTCAGCGGTATAATTGTTTATCCTATAAACACACGTAAAGACTACTGAATGATACGATGCATGTAAAACCTTACGTACTTCAGACATACATGTAGATGTATTTGCCACTTTTATACCATTACCATTCTGGAAGCAAAACAAATAATTTCGCAACGTTTCATAAATATTTGAATAGATTTACACAGAAATGAAACAAATATTCAATTTTCTTCTGGTTGATAATGGTTTATGGAGCATATGTTACAATTCGTAATTGTCCGGAATATACGAATTGTGCGAAATGTACACTTCATAAGAAACAAGTCCATCTTCTCTCCAGAGAGAATGTTACATAAAGACTATTACCTCAATAGTTCAGTTGGAGGAAAAAAATCTCTGGTCGTGGATCTCAAGGAACTTGACACCAAGACAGACTGATTGGCGGTATATCGTCCGTCGTAAAGTAACTTGGACTTTGATTTTGAGAGTGCCGTGCAATGCAGGGACGTGAAAACTCTTTTGAGTCAGTCAGCGAAGAGAAAAGTAGGAGGTTGGTGTGAGATGGCCGCCAGCCTGGGAGTTAGTTGAAGCAGTGAGTCAGATGTGGGATATTCTCCAGCCGGTAAGAACGTAAGCAGAGAATATTGTTAGGATCCGTCACCAGGAAACAGTAGTGAAGACATAGAAAGTTTATGACTGCCGCAGTTACAGTGATGTTTGGCCTCGCCATAGCTCAAGCGGTTAGTCGCTGGCTTCCCACCTCGGCGGCCCGGGTTCGATCCAGGATCTGGTCAAGTGGGATTTGTGGTGGACAAAGTGGCGCTGCGGCGGGTTTTCTCCGAGTACTTCGATTCCCCCTGCCAATCTTCATTCAATCAAATTCTCCATCATCATAATCACCTGGGGCAGGCTACAATAGGCCAATTAGTGTCCGCCGTGCCGAGTGGACCCAGTTGGACTCCACCCCCACTCAGCGAGTTAAAAAAATTATAGTGATGATTAGAGTGTGTATACTAGTGAGGCTGTTTTAGTTACTTGTAGTCACGTGTTGTGTGTATAAGTGGTCAATAAATCGAGTTGCCAATGCAAACCTTAAATAAGAAAATGAGAAAGGAGGCGTTCTTAACAACATACAGAGTGTTCTTAATTTGAGCTCCTCGGGTATTAATATACATCTTATGGTTGACATGTAACTGACAACTACATTACTAATGATACTGAATATCAGTTTAAACGCCTAATTGATCATTGTGATGAGCCATGGTCGTTACATCGAAACTATATTCTTACTCGTTTCTTTATGTCCTTTGTGCCTGGCGAGTTGCTAAGAAACCATATTTAGTACTTACAAGCTGTATCACTGTTCATTGCGTTATTGGTAACAGATGAAGTATGGGGTGTCACATATTTTTGCTTCTAGAATATTCAGTGTTTGTTTGTTTCTTACGGCGCACTAATTTTCGTATTTAATTACCAAACCGTTATACCCTATTTTGTTTACACTGTTCATGAAATTTATTAAAGGTTCATATATAAATTTTAGTCTAATGTACGCGTACTTAAAAACTTTAATTATAATTGCATAATGAATGTATGAAAATTAAGCAATTTCAATATTTCAGTACTCGTAAAATCTAGTTTAAGAAAATTGAAGAACAAGAGAATGTGAGATCTGGGATCTCACAGCAATGGTTATGAATATTTCTATCCTGTGGGATGTAACTCCGTGTATTCCTTCGAAGATGAACCGATGTTTCGTAAGAACCCATCACCTTGTTACCAGCTTTATGCTATTTCTTTCTTGGCATTTCCTTTGACTCTGAAGATGAGATTTTCCTCCGAAAAGTCTGATGCTTTTCAACGGACTATATGGCCTTATATCCCAGAAGGTAGAGTTCTTGGAAGTTGTGACTTCCAGCTGCTTATTATTTAACGTTTTGTAAACAGAATCAAATGGACGGAATTTATGATGAGGCTGTTAATGTACTGCTTCCTTGTGTTTCAGAACTTCATTCAGAATCATTTTGATGGTGTTGGCATCTGCGCCGTGAACCTGGTTGATGACATGCAGGAGTACATGCGTGGGCTCTTCATAGTCATGTAAGACCTGTCAGATGACTCTTTGTGTTTTTAATTCTATCATATCAGCCTTCTCCATGTCAATGTACGATCATTACAAACAACTATCACATATACGTAGTTAAGCAGCGGACCTCAGACCTTGAATTCTATAGGCACTGGGTTTTCTTAACAAAGCGCGAATTATCTCCCAGTCCTCTCAAGGACATTATATGACTTTGATACTGGTATCTACCTTCGTTGTTTCTTCGTATTTCCATCTCTGTGCACACTGCCCTGTTCATGGCACCAAATGTAATCTCCCCGACCACTCATCAGCCCAGAGCTTCCACTCTGCTGCCGTAGCCACCCTCCGTTACCTCTGCTCTTCCGTCCTGTCTCTCCAATACTCCTCGGTTTTCCTGCCCATCACATCCTTACAAATTCTCCCGTATCGTTCCATAGACTAGCACAACTGGCATTTTTAAGCGCCATGCTTGTGATCATGTTCTTGTCTGCTGTTGGTTCGTTCTCTTGTAAGGGTACTGACGGTTCGTCCTGTCCTGAGGGAGAGCCGACGAGAACTGACTTACTCTTCCATTTCCTTCTCTTTCTTATATAATCCGAAATCTTGACAAGCCATTGCTCTCAAAAATATGGCATGATCTGCTCTACTGAGCCTTGTATATATTGTATGTAAATATAATAACATGTATATTATGTAAAATGTAAAGATATTGTACATTCTGATTACTGACAATGACTCCAATAAAAACAGACCAGTCCTCTCGTAAGAGTGGGGGCCCCACAAGGACAAGACAGTAACAGGTAAAAAGGTATAGTTGTACTTGTGTTTAACTTAATAAGCATTGCGCCATGGAATTTGGGGTAGTGAATGTATATAGCCACATTTTCCTGACCTCGACACTAGTTGAAGATCAGTGGTCAACTTCACGCACCTGCCGCTTTACCGCCGGGGAAAGAAACCCAGGTACCCATTGGATAGGAGATTGGGTGGACCCCAGAGTCGGTCTTGACGTAGAGAAGAGAAAATTCTTGGCCCTATCAAGATTTTAACTCCGACCCCTGGGTCATCCAGTCCGTAACCAGTCGCTATACCTACTGCGCTATCCAAGATCCATACGGTAACAGACAAACTGAATATAATATATGGTCATAACCCCAGATGGGGCTCGACACAAAGACTGACTGACTGACTGACTTACTGACTGACTGACCGTCAGTCGCAATGTGACTTTGACTTTGAGCCGTTTATTGATACCCCCTCCATAGTCGCTGTGGGAATAATGTAGCCCCTGGTTGATGATGGTGAAAGAAGTGGACACTTGCCTAGAAAGACTAACCGTCCTCTCACTGAAGCGGAGGTTCATTTAAAAAAAGCAGTGTCCTTGGAGTTGGATAAATATACAGTCATGGTTTGCCATGAGTTGCGATACCACGAGTGACCGTGCTGGCTGGCTGGTTGGCAACAGCAAGCTTCTGCTTCTGCCGATTGCTCTGCTTGCAACATGCATTGACACTGGTTTCTTGCTCGGATTTTTTCTTCTACCCTGAGGATGGAGGCGACATATTCCTCCAAAATGTCGGCTGGCTTTCAACGGACTACACGGCGTTATGTCCCAGAAGATAGGACCCTTGAAATGGACTAAGTTTCGCCGGGACAAATCATAGAGCTCAGAATTACTATTGGTTTTTCGGACTTTGTCCATCATCCGGTATTCTAGAAAGTAGAAAACACAATGTTTCGGAAACAGATTCATTTTCCGAAACGTTATGTTTACTACTTTCTAGAATACCGGACGACAGACAAAATCCAAAATTCCAGTAATTCTGAGAATTATACACCATCGTAAGAACCCTTTAGGATCTAAATTATTTTGGGGTTGATAAAAGTGGGGGAAACGAGAATCCAGTGGCCGACATTTGTGAATATGGTAATGAACTTTTGGATTCAATAAATGCCATGGAATATCTTGACTATTTTTATTGCTAGTGGGGTGGGACTAAGTCCCTTTTACTGCGGCCACTTCTGGCCTATTGTACCAGCCCCAGATGATAGGTGAGGGTGATTGTCGAGCAATTGGTGGAATGTAGATTGACAGGGTAAACTGAAGTACTCGAAGAAAACCTGCCCAAGCACCACTTCGTTCACCACAAATCCCACTTGACAAGACCCGGGGTCGAACCCGGGCTGCAGCAATGGGAAGCCAGCGACTAACCGCCTGAGCTATGGCGCGGCCTATGTCTTGACTAACTAAGCGACAGTGAGCTTGTTAAAAGGATTATACTGTATGGAGTTAGAAGAATTACAGAACATGCCTACAGGATTTGAATAAGACCATGATGGCCCCTGTGCGTTTTCTGTATAAAAAGAAGTCACCTTGTCCATCGTTACCAACCGAGGTTAACGTACGTCATTAATACAGTTCCCCTAAGAGAACGAAAGTATTACATTTATCTCATCACTGGTGAAGTAATCGATTTTAGGTTTTTGTAACGATCGCGTCTGACTAGGGTTCCTTTCCCCCTTCACATCTAGCGATGGGAATGTATCCAGTTTCCGAAATGTCGTGTTTACAAAGTCCGCATACAAGGATCTGTTAGAAGACCTTAAGAAGAAGAAGAAGAAAGATCCTGAGAACAAGAAGAGATTTAAAAGCAGATCTCAACATAAGAAACGTCAGGAATGTGCCTGGAACTGAAACGATATTAATATACAGACAGAAAGGCAAGTCATACGTGATTGAGAGGTCAGAAGCTAGTAAAATATAAAACTTCGAAGTCACAAACCTGTATTTAGAATCAACAAAACTTCAAATTCGGAAGAAGAAATGATTGCTCATCTCAGCGATGGCAGAGGATGCTGAATGCCCTCATTTCTGCAAACTTATTGTCAGAGGACCTATAGGACGAAGAGGGGACCGCTGCAATGTCTACCGAATGTGGGCACAAACACTTGGTGCAAATGCAAAGGAAGGAAGCATTTGGTGCCATTGTAACTACCTACCAGATATTTATAGCATGTTCCTGTTACGGTTTGTTACAATATTTTGTTAATTTGTGTCCTGAATTTTATCCTTCCTTTGTGGAGGAATTATCTGAATTTATATTACAGTTTTATGTCTGTAAAATATAAGTTTCTGGAAAATTTGACTCGTCCAGTGAAGTATGTATTATTATACGCTCAGCACGTTAGGAACCCTGGTGAGTCTGGCTTCCTTTTTAGTTTGGGAACAGCTTCTTTAAGTGATATATCTAAATGTTTCTTTTTATATTCCGTCGTAAAGTTTGATTGACTAAAAACACTTCCATGTAATATGTACAAATCTAACATTTTATTTGTCTTAGTAATGAGACTTAAGAAACTCCCAATATTAACCGATTTTCCTCTATATCATGTATATCAGAGACAATAGACAGTGTCCAATATAATCTTTATATAACTTCCTGATATTATAAATTATCTGTACTAATAATATACTCTGTTTCGGCTGACTTTGGCTTCAAATGTGAGAATTCTAATGCACATGAAATTCAACAGATATACCTTATTGCATACTGCTTAATACTGACAGTAAAGAGTGTGGCCAGGTTAATGCAGTCAGTTGACCGAGGAATGAGGGTTCGATTCCCGCAGGATGAAGAGATTATTCTCTTCTCCATGACACCTAGATCCGCTCTGGAGCCCATCCACCCTCCGATACAATTGACACTGTTGACTCTTTCCCTGGGGTTAAAGCGGCAGGAGCGTTAAACTGACCACTCACCTCCATCCAGTTCCAAGGTTACGGATAATGGAGCTATACCTTCATTTCCTCTCACAACTTCGTGGCGTGTAGTTTAATTAATTACATCCAGAGATAACGTTGCCTTTTAGTGACCATAATGATTCAGAACTTCCTAGTTCTGGAGCTGTGCCAATTTTGCTCGTGTCAGCAAAATATTGCTATCTGCTGAAAACAGCCGCACGTGGCCGTCCTCGTATAATATATTTTGGGGGGTGGGAAGGGTGCGCATCGGTCTGAGGGGATGTCCACAGGTACAGTTGTCATCTCAGCTTCAGTATTAGGTTGCCTGTACATCTCATGTCTCATAATTACTTTCTGCAGTAATTAGTGTGGCCTCAATGGCCGAGATTTCTGAACGCGACACTCAGCAGGCATATGTAATATCGATCAATACCTTGTAGCATCACTGCCAGTGCTGACACAAACAGAACTCCCTAACTCGCCAACTAAGGCCGCGCCATAGCTCAAGCGGTTAGTCGCTGGCTTCTCACAGCGGCGGCCCAGATTCGATCCCAGGTCTGGTCAAGTGGGATTTGTGGTGGACAAAGTGGCGCTGGGGCAGGTTTTCTCCTAGTACTTCGGTTTCCCTTGCCAATCTTCATTCCACCAATTGCTCCACAATCACCCTCACCTATCATCTGGGGCTGGTACAATAGGCCAGAAGTGGCTGCAGTACAAGGGACTTAGTTCCACCCCACTAGCAATAAAAACAACTCGCCAAGTAACGGACTGACTGAATTTCATGCTGCTACTGCTGAAAGATATGTACTCAGATCCAGAATGTTCATCACTGTAGTAACAAAAGCCTGTCATCCTAAGCCAGTTCAACACAATTTACTTCTTCACAACCTGTTTTCTTGAGCGCAAAAGGGGCGTGGTCCTAGAGTATTTAAGATAGATAATGTTGTTATACACATATAGTATATTCTTATGTAAGTATATTTTATTTATTTATGTTGTATGTGGCATAGAATAGTAGATCAGAGGCAAGTGCTGAAAATTTGGGAAAATTATATTTCAGAACTATATGATCGGCCTAATCGGCCAGAAACCTTAGAAGTTGAACCGGAAGAAGAAGTAGATACAGACGAGAAAGGACCATATATTTTACAAAGTGAGGTGGAAAAAGCTATCAAGGAAATGAGGAAGGGAAAGGCTACAGGAGATGATGATGTACCTGGAGATGTGCTCAAGTTACTGGGAGAAGGTGGTTTGAAAACACTGACAAAACTAATGAACACCATATATGCAAGTGGAGAGTGGCCCAAGGACTTTACAGAAGTTACAATGATTGCCTTAAAGAAAAAGACAAAAGCTACAAAATGCAGCGACCATCGCACAATAAGTCTTATTGCACATACAGCAAAGATAATAGCAAAGTTACTTAAAAGAAGAATTGAAAGGAAAATAGAGGATGTACTTGGAGAAGATCAGTTTGGATTTAGAAGAGGAAAAGGAACCAGGGATGCAATTGGGATGATGAGAATTATAGCGGAACGAACTTTGGAGATAGATGAAGAACTGTGTGTTTGCTTCATAGACTGGCAGAAGGCATTTGACCGGGTAAACTGGACCAAATTAATGCAGATCCTGAAAGAAACAGGTATCGATTGGCATGAAAGAAGATTGATTAGCAAATTGTACATGGATCAGAAAGTTAGAGTACGACTGGACAGGGGGGAGACAGGAAGTGTGCAGATTGGAAGAGGAGTTCGACAAGGATGCTGTTTATCACCAATTCTGTTCAACTTGTACAGCGAATGCCTTACCAAGGAAGCTCTGGATGGGCTCGGTGACTTCAAAGTAGGAGGGCAAATTATTCAAACTGTGAAATATGCAGATGACCTTGTGTTAATGGCTAAGGAAGAAACTGTGCTACAGGGCATGATTGATAGACTAATTGAAATTGGAAGGTGCTATGGCATGGAAATGAATGTGGAGAAAACAAAAGTAATGAAAATTTCGAGACAACCAACCCCAGTCACAATAAAGATAGACCAAAAACAAGTGGAGAATGTGAAATGTTTTAAATATTTGGGTAGCTTGTTAACAGATGATGGAAGGTGTACTTGTGAAATTAAATCCAGGATTGCCATGGCAAAAGCTGCATTTAGCAAGAAGAAGAATCTTTTTACCAGCAAATTGGACTTAAATTTGAGGAAGAAACTAGTGAAATGCTACATTTGGAGCATAGCTCTGTATGGGGCTGAAACATGGACACTTAGGGCAGTAGATCAGAAACATCTGGAAAGTTTCGAAATGTGGTGTTGGAGAAGAATGGAGAAGATCAGTTGGACCGATTATGTGAGAAATGAAGAAGTGTTAATTAGAGTCAGTGAGCAGAGGAATATCCTACATGAAATAAGAAAACGGAAGGCTAATTGGATTGGTCATGTTTTACGCAGAAACTGCCTTCTAAAAGAAGCTATCGAAGGAAAGATAGATGGGCGGATAGAAGTGACAAGAAGACGAGGAAGAAGACGTAAGAAGATGCTGGATGACCTTGGGGACAGAAGAGGATACTGTCATTTGAAGGAGAAAGCTCTAGATCGCATTAAGTGGAGGAACTGTTTTGAAAGAGACTGTGGACCTGTCGTCTTGACAGATTACTGATGATGATGATGATGATGATGATGATGATGTATGTGGCATGCATTAGCGTAGTTAGTTCAGGCGCTATGCTACAAGCCGGAAGGTCGCGGGTTCGATTCCCAATGAGATCATTGGATTTTTCAATTGACCTAATCCTTCCAACCGCACTATGGCCCTGGAGTCGACTCAGGCTATATCAGAAATAAGAAGCAGAAATATTCCTGGGAGTAAAAGGCGGCCGGCGATAAGGCTATCTTTGAGACAATTGTCAGGAAATTGTGGGAGCCTCGACGTCTCACAACCCTATGGGCCTTCGCGACCTCTTACAGGGATAGCATTGCCTTCATTTAACTGATGTTCAGTGGGTCATGTTATAGTTTCGAAATGTACGGCGATTAATGAATGAAAAGTATGGAAGGAAAAGGCGATGGCCTATTGAAACATTATTCCAGCAATAGCCTGGAGACAAATCGCGTTTTAGAAAACTTGAAGAACCTCAATCAGGATTTCCAGTGTCCTAACCGAGATTCGAACCAAGTACCTCCCGATTATAAGCCTGGAATAAAATCTCGCCTAGGAAAGGCACTTAAAATCTCATTCAGAATAGTCGGTGTCCTGGCCGCGATTCGAACCATGGACCTTTCAGATGCAAGTGTAATTGGTTATCGCTTGAGCCACCTCTCTTGGCACAATTTCTTTTGTCCTGGATGCTGGTGTGGGGGGTTAGGATGTATGGAGCATACAATGGGAAAGAAGATATATGATCTAAATTCTGACAAGAAGCCCTGATGGGAAGAGATGTTTAAAGATGAATGAAACAGTCGATATAGCGTCTGGCAACGGGCTGGATGACCGAGGAGTCGAAGTTCGAGTCAAGAAGTCAAGAATTCTTCTGTCTTCAAGTCGTCCAGACCGGTTCTGGGTCACATCCAGCTTCCTATGAAATAGATACCAGGGGTAAAGCGGCCCGGGGTGTGAAGCTGACCACTCACCTCCAACTAGTGGCGAGGTCGAGGAAACGTGTGTCTATATATCCACTCCCTCCACGCTTTCATGACGTAGTGCTTAATTATTTAGCATAAGGGTAACTTTATCTTCTTACCCAATAACAGCTCTTGAAGTTGCTTGTGGAGGTGAGAGCGTTATTAGATGGTTCCAGGCTGGAGTCCACCGACGGGCTCTTGCGACGAGGCTTTCGGTGAAGTGTAACTAGTAGGCTACTGCCTTTGTGATCTAGTGGTCAGAGTTCCTGGCTACAGATCCAGAGGTCTCGGGTTCGATTCCCGGCGCTTCCAGATTTTCTGAGAAGTAATTTGTCTGGAACGGGGTCCACTCAGCCGCGTAAGGATACCTGAGGTGCTATTTCAAGGAAATAGCGGCTCCGGTCTAGAAAACCGAGATTAACGTCCATTGTGATCCGTTGCGCTGACCGCGCGACACCCTCTATCCCCTAAAGTTGGCACTAACTTCACCGAAAAGCGGCGGTAGCTCGGTCGAATAGTTCGCTTGCGGACTACAGGCCACGGAGTAGTAACTAGTTGGTGTTGATAGCTTGAAGAACTGTCAGTTGTTCAGCGGTTAATTGGATGCGTCTGTATGGCAGGTATGTGCTTCCCCTAACTGTCATCTCTTACCTCTACGTGCGTGTCTCCAGAGAGCTGAAGGTACAAGAGGGCCCCCTCGCTGTCATGATGTACGAGGCCCGAAACCGAGAGGACGGCTCGCGTACGGATTCGACATGCCAGGACTTCAGGTAAGCCTCTCTACACCACAGGTAATTAAATTCCTTGAAAATGCTGGAAGTCGGAATCCAACAAAGAATTTTTCGATTATGCTTTCGATTTCGATCACTGTCGCTACTGTAAAAGACAGCAGTAATAAGGATAGGGTATATGTCAGTACAGAAAACCGCGATAGCTCAGTCGGTATAGCGAATCGCTACGGGCTGGACGACCGAGTGGTCGGAGTTCGAGTCCCGGTATGGTTAAGAATTTTCTCTACTTCACGTCGTCCAGTCTATTTCCTATTTAATGGGTACCGGGGGCAAAGTTGCCGGGGCATGAAACTGAACACTCACCTCCAACTAGTGCCAAGGTGAAGAAAATGTGGATCTATACATTCACTCCTACGTACCCCTTCATGGCATAGTGCTTATTAGTTAAGCACAGGGACAACTTTACCTTTACATGTGAGCATAAGGTCAGCCACCTGAGATCAAAAGTAAGAGCAAATCCCGAAATATCCGGTTTACAATAATTATACTTCAAGTAAAGGACAAAATCCAATGAACCTTCCACTTATTTAATACATATTGCAACGAGTTTATGGCTCCGTCACTAATATTAATGGGTTCTGGATTGGGTGATTGGATTTATTAACACTTTCTTGTACAATCTCCGTAATCACAATCAATTACAAGAAATCACAATCAATCTTCAGACAAATTCTTCTTTCTCGTCTGCCGAGGACTCGCCCAATTCTTTTTTTTTTTTTCGTTCTATGGCTGGCTTCTGAGCAAAGCAGAGCAGAAGCTTACTACCGGCTATCAGCTGGCACAGTCACTCCTGACATCGGGCCCCACTGGGATCCATGGCCTTATTTTGGTGGCTTCTGATTTACGACTGGACTACTTATATAGTTTCGAAGCGTATCCATATAAAACATCCGTTGCCCAGCAATGAGCATTTGCGAACCACATAGAAAACACCTCTTCCTCTACTGTTGTATTTACAACGCGTTGCTTAACAACGGAAGTTATCCGATTTTTGCCTGCGTATTTGTTTCGCCGCATTGTTGTAGGCTTTACCTAGCTGAGATCTCTTTCCCAAATATCTGTCTCCGCAGGAATGTGTTTATCGGACCGTTGCCTAGCAGTGGTTCGATACGTCACAATATTTTTGCAGCCGTCTTGTGTGATATAGCAGTTTGCTTGTGTCGATAGCCGTATGTCTGTGAGCTCTGAATCCTATTACCACTCTTTTCTTATTTTTGTAGAACTTCTGCATGTTCATGTCGGTTAATGTATGAGATAGACACTCCAGATTAATATTGAAAGTTAATTATCTGTCATGATGAAGGTAGTATCTTTCAATAAGTTATTCTCGGCTCCATCAGTGAGTTCTTATAAGCTTCCCTGAAATGGGAAAGTTTATGAATCTAATTGAATCTGCTTTAGCAGATTCAATTAGAATGGATTCAATGGAGTCCTGCATTATTTTTGACTCTGAAAGAGAAGGGAAGCAGTAGATTGAGGTCCGCAAAGAAAATTTCCTGGAATAAAGAGAGTTTAATTTATATTATAAGGGAACGCTGTTGCCTTCGGCGCATTTCTTACTTTCCGCGTTATAAGCTTGAAAAAATATTTTGTACACTATCCCAGCGATTTGTTTCACATAGCAAATATTCGGAAGTGGCAGTACTGGAATTTATGAATCAAAGATGAGAAATGCATACAAAAATTTGAATGAAAGAGACCACCTCAGAGACCTTGGCACAAATGGGAAAATAAAATTAAAAGAGATATTGAATGAATAGATTATGAATATCTTAACTGAACTCACGTGGCTCAGGTTACTGCTTAATATCGGACAGTTTGATAAGCCCTTTTAATATGCGGAGACGTTGTTAATATTCTCGGATTTCTGGACATAGACCGGGATTTAGTATTTCGATTTCTGTCCGGAATACAAGACAACGGACAAAGTCCAGGAACCATTTGCAATAAGTGTTATGTAACAATATTATATTTAAGCATTCTGTTACACTCTACACAATGTATGACACAAAATCCGTCCTAAGTGCAACAATTTATTGTAGTTCTTTTGTCTTCTTTTGTTCTACACTACATGTTTCGGCCGTAAATGGCCATCATCAGGTGTATACTCTCACGTATCTGTTACACTGCACGTAGTTTAAAATTTAAAAACACCAGCTTTCTAAATTGTTCATTTCTCCGTTGTTAATAGGTCCCGATATATCAGCATCCCCTTGCTGTATTTGTCAGATATGTATAAAATCTTTGTTAATTTACATACGTCAATTTGATTTTTGGATTTTGGTATTTTTAGAATCTTCAATTTAAATTTAAAAATTTTTTAAAATTTTAAAATTTAAAATTCGCAGGGATACCTGCCCTAGGTCTACAGTGCTGCAGCGGCTACTTCTTGCTTTCAGCACTGTTCAGGTATTATTCTGTGTAGGCGCCCTCTGTGAGTGCCGCTGCTTATCTTTAATACGTGTCTTTTAAATTTTAAGTTACGTGCAGTGTAACAGCTACGTGAGAGTATACACCTGATGATGGCCATTTACGGCCGAAACATGTAGTGTAGAAGAAAAGAAGACAAAAGAACTACAATAAATTGTTGCACTTAGGACGGATTTTGAGTCATACGTTGTGTTATGTAACATGATCAGAACATTTTAGAGATGTGCAGATTCTTAATCAGATAAGGTACTATCAGTTTCTACAGAATTACTTCGTTCCATGAACTTCATTAGTTAATATTATTATTATTATGGCTCTACAGCCCTTTGTTGAGCCTTGGCCGCTTTTTCAGTTTCTTGATCCTATACATAGTCAGTATGACTCCTTGGACGGGGGATCAGCCTATTGTAAGGCGTCTACCTACACAACAACACAAACACAGAATAAACGCACACAATAAAACATCCATGCCTTGAGTGGGATTCGAACCCACGAACCAAGTGTTCTAGTGAGCGAAGACAGTTCATACCTTGGACCGATCGGCAACTGTGATCAGCCATAAGTTGATATAGCATCGTAGAATAAGAAATGGGTCAAGTGACCACCTCTTATGTGCGTACTTTAATCTTTATGCTTTGAAACGGTGAAATGGAACAAGGTAGAACGTTCAGAAATGAATAATATCAAGTTTCCTCCGAAATTAATCAATCTGTTTGCAACTTTTTTTTAAAAGAAATTTGATTTATTATACATTCGGCCACCTACAGGCGTTAGAACTGCTAACTGCGTTAGAATATGCTAACGGCCGTGAAAATCTCGATCCTCATCCTATACTTCGATTCCTCTGCCTTTATTTTTAGATCAACTTCCTCACCAGCGTATGTACAGTTCCATTGTTTTTTCTTTACGAACACTGAATTGTGAAAACCTCTGCATTTACACAGTGCTCTCTGTACAAGTAACTGGGACAGTATTCATACAACCAACTTCAAGATAACAAGAACACTTCATACCTTAAGACGTAAGTACAACCACAGAAACTTATATAACACACTTATTGTCATATATTACAACTTACGCTACGTTATCATTACAGCATAACCTCTCCCTCGGTAGCGTAGTTGGTTGAGGCACTATGCTACAAACCGGAAGGTGGCAGGTTCGATTTCCGATGAGGTCATTGGAATTTTCAATGGACCTAATCCTTCCTGTCGCACTATGAGACTGGAGTCGACTCAGCCTCTAACAGGAAATGAGTAACAAGAATCTTCCTGGGGATAAAGGGCGGCCGGCTCGTAAAGCTGACAACCTTACCGCCATCTGTGAGCCGATGGTCTAGAACAGGCATGTCAAACTCAACTTGTACAGAGGGCCACCTCAGCCCTATAAATAATAGTCTAGGGCCGCGCTTCAAAATAGAAATATACATTAGATTATGATACAAGGAAATTTAATTATATTTATTATTTAGGAACAATTTCAATATAATTATCTAAAGTGGAACACTTATATCTTGTTCACAAATCAAACATGTAATTTTACCTCCTATTTCTTAACAGAAATAAGCGATTTCCCATTTTAGTTCTTTTTTTGCTACTTGAATTTTTTGAAAGCGACATTGCCCTTTAAAAGTTACTGTACATATACAAGAAAACTCGTAGTTGATAATTTAATGTTTAATTATAACCTTTATATGTTCATCACAATGTAACATCAGCACCTGTCGCTTTGTGAAAATGTACTGAATGACAGTGTACAAGAGACTACCGGACTAGTAGGAAGGTGTATCTTGTCTCAATGGTCATAAAAGTGAAAGTTTGCTAGCAGCCCATTAGACAATGACTGGGGCTTGCAAGCTTGTTTTGAAGGTAGAAATCCTTTGCATTTGTCTGTAAGTTGCCACCCTCCTTGCATTCTTACTACGCCTCCAAAAGGGATTCTTGGAAATACTTGGAGTGGTGAGGCTGTGCGGATTTTAGTGTATTAACCTTCTGAAATACAATAGTTTGTCCTTCACGAACTTTACAAACCGTTAGTTGGACAAACCCTTCTGCAATTCTCAGAATCACTTTTCCTGCAGCCTGCTAATTTATGTCTGCGTGAGACTTCTTGTCTTCTGATCTGTTGGAAAATTGTCTTTACAAAAAATATTTCTACTAAAATTTTAATATTGATTTTAATATCAGTTAGCTCTGAAAGTCGAGGGGCCGCACTTTCTGGCTATGGGGGCCGCATGTTTGACACGGCTGGTCTAGAAAATGTGGGAGTCTCGGCCTCTGACGAACTTATGGGCCACCACGGCCGGATAAAGGAATAGCTTTACCTTTATAACGTTTCAGCAACAGCACCACTATACCGAGCTTACAATCATCTCAAAAGAGAGACAATATATTTATAAGAAGATACATATTCACCTAAGAAGAGCTAAACCAAAACGACCAACATACCTGAGAAAGAGTACATACCTATATATATTGTAATTTTAATTTTAATGTTTTTTTTTTATTTTAGCTTTGACATGTAACTGGATGCATAACGATTCATCCGGT